GAGAGAGAGAGAGCAAGAGAGAGAGAGTAGGAAAATGAGATAACAAGCTGCCAGGTCCAGGACTCAAACTGTGATAGGCTATGTGAGAGCCCCTAACCACCATGCCACCTGCTGGCCCCATCAGGATAAATTCTTACAAGTGAAATTGATGGGTCTAACTGGGCATATAACAATAAAGGGCTGCAGGAACCTTGGTCCTAAGAAAAGGTAAATTAATTCATAACACTATCAACAGTGTACAAAGGCATATGTGGGAGCTTCCAAAAGTCCATGGAAAAATGCATTGTCTGAAAAAACTGCATGGATTTCAATAATTTTTTATACTAAAACAAACATGTATTAAAAAAAAAAAGTTTGCTAGAGGATGTGCCCACTTATGGAGAGAGACAGAGAATGAGAAGGAAATTGAGAAAGCATCCTCCCCCCCATGGGAGATGGTCATGCTGTAATCAAGTCTCCTTCATTTCTCCTTTGGGACCTTGAGTACATAACCACCTATGCATCCGGCATGTTTTTCAAGCCAGTAGGTCCGGGAGTTGAGCTGCACAGAGGGGTCCAGCCGCCTTAACTACTGTACTACTACCAGCTGTCCCAAACTTGAATTTTGAGTCCATTTAGAATTTTTTTTCTTTGCCAGAAGGTATGTGCATTCAATATATATATAGAGAGAAGCACCCCTCAATAGTGGATGATCATACCACAGTACTTTTGCTTCATTTCTCCATCCTTACAAAATTTGGGGTACATAAACACACATGCCCAGTGAATTTTTCAAGATATTGGTACTGGGAATTGAACCACAGTAGGCCATGTGGGAACTGGCTCCAGGTGCACTGAGCTTAGCCACTGCATTATCGGGCTGGTTCTGATTCCATTTTTCCACGAACTACTTGAAGTTCTCTCATATTTATCTACATCTTTGTTAATTGTAGATGCTGTAAATAAATATAATCCTTGCTAATTTGCTTGTTAAAGATGTTATCTTCCAATTTTTAAATGTACACTTTATTCATTAATAAAATCACATTTTATAGATTTTATTTTATAGATGCTTACTGTTTCTTGGTGGTGGTAGTTGTCCTGCAAGAGTTTATGTGTTGGGGCTTAATTGTAAGGTCGTTAAGTGAAAACTTAATTCCTAAACTGGGACCTTTGAGTATGATAATGTCATTAGGTCAGAGGCCCAATGATTGAGCTCTGGTGTGTACGTAAACAGAGGAAATGAGGCAGACACAAGCTATAGACACACAGACTCCACTCTGCTCAGCTGAAAGTCGTTTTCTACCATGCCACCATTTTGTGATGCCTTTCAGCTTCTCAGTTACCAGAATTGTGTTATGTAAATAAACCTCCATCTTTAAAATAAATCACCTAGCCCCAGGAACTCCTGTTAGCAATGCAATAACAGACTAAGACAATGACTATGATAATCATTGATTATTGGGATGTGGAGTGATAATGATTTCCACTTTGGGATTTTATTAGTAATTTCATGTAGACAATTTTCCACAAAGGCAACGATCACTTGATTTTAGTGAAATATATTAAAAAAAAAAAAAGACTCCAAGGATTAAAAAAAAAAGCTGAATTTTTAGTAAGCATTGAGTATCAATTTTAACTATGTGAGTTATGATATGTTGTTGTTAAGGTCAACAAAAGGGGAGAACTGAACTAGCACAATCAGCATTTAAATCAGGGTTGAGTTGGAATTTGCTTGTTAAAGATGTTATCTTCCAATTTTTAAATGTACACTTTATTCATTAATAAAATCACATTTTATAGATTTTATTTTATAGATGCTTACTGTTTCTTGGTGGTGGTAGTTGTCCTGCAAGAGTTTATGTGTTGGGGCTTAATTGTAAGGTCGTTAAGTGAAAACTTAATTCCTAAACTGGGACCTTTGAGTATGATAATGTCATTAGGTCAGAGGCCCAATGATTGAGCTCTGGTGTGTACGTAAACAGAGGAAATGAGGCAGACACAAGCTATAGACACACAGACTCCACTCTGCTCAGCTGAAAGTCGTTTTCTACCATGCCACCATTTTGTGATGCCTTTCAGCTTCTCAGTTACCAGAATTGTGTTATGTAAATAAACCTCCATCTTTAAAATAAATCACCTAGCCCCAGGAACTCCTGTTAGCAATGCAATAACAGACTAAGACAATGACTATGATAATCATTGATTATTGGGATGTGGAGTGATAATGATTTCCACTTTGGGATTTTATTAGTAATTTCATGTAGACAATTTTCCACAAAGGCAACGATCACTTGATTTTAGTGAAATATATTAAAAAAAAAAAAAGACTCCAAGGATTAAAAAAAAAAGCTGAATTTTTAGTAAGCATTGAGTATCAATTTTAACTATGTGAGTTATGATATGTTGTTGTTAAGGTCAACAAAAGGGGAGAACTGAACTAGCACAATCAGCATTTAAATCAGGGTTGAGTTGGCAACATGGTGGAGTGAGAAGTGTTTTTGGCTTTGAAAGACAGGAAATTAATATCCTTGAATAGATTTTGCTCATTAACAGGAGGATTTGGGACAAGGCACACAGTCATTTAGCTCCTCAGTTTCCATTTTGTGAAAAAGACAGTATCAACTTTCAATTATTTCACAGAGTCTTAAGATTTAAACTAGATAGTTGATATGGAATTGCTTCCCTATGCTGGTTTCATGTCTGGAATAACAAGAAGCAACATATTAGGTATTTCTTGGAACAGAAAATCTGGGGCAAAAAAATTTCTGGAGAACTGCTTTATAATATCTGTAAGACTAGTCTTCGTGCATCTTAATGCTACCCTTCACAAAAGAATATGTTTAATTCAGCTTTTTATGTAATGATTTGGCTTCTGGGACATGGCAAATGTAAATTATGACACATTACAAATAAAATAAAGCTAAATGGCAGTACTTAGTGCCAGAGAGGATATTTTCTGCAATCAACTTTTTAATTAGCATTTTCCTTTATCAAAAATACAAGGAGAAAAGGAAATAGTTGTGCATTCAGTATTAATATAATTTTCAACTCCTGCCTATGATGACATCATAAATATCACAGCCAAACTTCCTAAAAAAACTAAATTCATATTTTTTCAAACAAGTTCACATAATTAAGAAAGTGTTTTTCAAATGAAATAGAATTATCTCGTTTACTCTGCTGTATTTACATATGTCTTTCATGAAGAGCTATTTGGCAGTGAATCTAGCTGTTCTTTAAATAAGCATTCCAAAATACTTCTTCAGAGTCTAAAGTTCTGCTAAGAGGAAAAAAAATCCACACCAATTTTGCCTCCGAAAAGATATTATCACTGCTCTTTTTGTTGGTCGAGAGACAAAATATTGGAAAAAAAATAGAATTTTACCAAAAACAAGTTAGGAATTCTCTTTCACAGTATCTTATCCTACAGCTTTTCATAAACTATAGAAATTAATGGATTGGGAAAAAAAAAAGCCCTACCTATTTGCTTCAAAGTATTTTGGAATAAAGAAACTGATAATTATTTACCTAGTGACATTCCTAGGTAAATCCCCATGGGCAGAAATCCAAATAAAAGACTTAAATATTTTGAATTGCATTTGTCACATAGAGCCCTACACATTCAAAACTCAAAACGAATTGCTCCACAATGGATTCATAGGTATTATTAATGTCCATTCAGAACCTTCATTTGGGTGGACTTCATTACCAGGTTTAAACTTTTGAGTATGTTAATATCTCACAGAAGTTCTGTTTTAACTGTTGGTGAAAAAAATGGAATATATTTTAGCAGTTGATAGGTTTTGAGAACAATAGCTTTCTCACCTGAGCCCCAGTATCAATTGTATTGCTGGGCATTCCAGGGAGTTAGTGTGGTGGTTTAGGGTTGGCCTCTGGAGGGTGCCTGCTTGGATTTGAATCCTGGTGAGGCCACTTAGTAATCATGTGGTCTGAAACAAATTGCCTTTTTCTCTGTGCCTCAGTTTCCCCAATTATAAGATGGGAGAATAAGAGTAACTACCCATAGCTATTGAGAGGATAGATGAATGTTGAGACTAGTTCTTAACACATGGTATATAGCTATAAGTGACGGTTACATTATCAACTCAGAGAGAATTGTTACTGTAATATGAAGCTGATAAACAATAAGGAAGAAAAAACGTTCTCTTTAGCTGGTGCCTTGACACGGTAGGAATTTGGGGATGGAATGCACTGTTGTGATGGGGGCTCTACCAAATGGCGATGCATCCTCTCTCCTTGCTTGAAATCTGTCTAAGAAAAACTGAGAAGAGGAGGAAGAGGATGAGGCAGAGGAGAAGGGGAGGAGGGTATTGGTCTGTTTTTATGTGTTGGTGACCTACACAGAACCTTCTGTCCTTTTTTTTTTTTCTTATTGGTAACATTCATTCCCAAGTGGATCCCTCCTCCTCCACCCCTGCCCCCGCAAACTTGCAAAACCTACATGCCGTGTTGGAGAAATGTATGTGCCAAGATTGAAATTTTAAAATTCAAACTCCTTTCATTTTTTGCAACACATAAATTCTGGCAAATTTTGATGCTGGTATAAAACACATTCTTGCTTGTTGGAATGTTATTATCACTCCAAACGATTGAACAGATTTCTTCAGCCTTTCTAAATGTAATTCATATCTAAGACAATAAGGATGAAGAATTTCCTCTTCAGGGGTCATGCTGGGGGAGGCTTAGAAGTACTGAGTTTCTGCACATAATAAACAGAAAAAGTGTCCTGTCATCTGTAACTTGATATGTTATATATTCCTATCCTCAAAACTAAGTGAGACCACATAGCTTTGATAATGTGAAGAATGAATTTCATCTAGTCCCCCATACTCCTCACATAACTCATGATCATGGATAGTTTGAGGGGTCGAATATAGCTAAGCAATGATACCCCTTTGTTCAATCAAATGCTAACCTAGATGTTGCTGTGAAGCTATCTCATAAATGTCATTAACATCTGTACTCTGTTGGCTTTACATAAAGGAGACCATCCTTGATAATGTAGGCCTCATCTAATCAGTTGAAAGAACCTAAAAGCAAAACTGAGGTTTTCCTGAAGAAGGAATTCTGCCTGTCAACTGCAGAGTCAGCTCCTGTCCAGGAGTTCCAGCCTGCTGGCCTGCCCAGCCAGACCTCACAATCACATGAGACAATTCTTTGAGGTAAAACTCTTCAGATGTTATACCACTGTTTCTGTTTTCTCTGGTAAAACTCTGATACCTGCATTGTCCCAGTTATGTTGTAAAATGCAAGGTGTTGGGCTGGCTCAGTAGTGCCGTGGTAACACACTGCTCCTAGTGAAGCTGGATCCATATGGAAGTTTGTGGATTTGATTCTCTGGTCAACCTGTACACTCTGGCATGCACACCCATGATCCTGGCTGACTGGGAAGGCTAGGAAGGGATTCTAGCATGAAACCTTGTTGAGGGTTCTTGTCTCTATCTCTCTGTTTGTTACTTTCCTGAAAGAAATGAAACTTAAAAAGAAATGTAAAGTATAAATTTCACTGGGCTAAGGCCCTTTTGTTAAAATGCAATAGCACTTTTTATTGGGCTAATATCTTTTTGTTAAAATGCAATAGTGCTATTTATTTTCAGGCAAATTTAAGCATCAAACATAGTTGTTGTAACCTTTTAAATTGAACTATTATTACACACACACACACACACACACAGAGGGAGAGAGAGAGAGAGAAAGAGAGAGAGAATAACATGTATCAAATTGAACATACCCAGGTAACCAACGCCCTGCTCAAGAAGCATAATCTACACACAAAAGTCACCTTAGTGGTTTTTCTCATCATGCACCCCTTCCTCTTTCCTAACCACCCTACTGCTAAGGGTAACCCATGTCCTAACTTCTCACAACCTAGATTAGTAGTTAGGCACAGATTTTAAGAGAGTGGTTAAGTAAATGTGATTTAAGGATAGATGTTATTCTCCTGAGACCTTGAGTGAAGACTTGAAGGAAAAGACAATCTCAATATTCAGAGGTTGCTATTTGTTAGGGCCTATTAGAATTTACACTCAAATTATGAGCTTTCATCACTATGTTAATCTCTTAGCCAATTGACAGATTTTTTTAGTGTGTATCATAGCTTTTACTCCAATTAATAGCTAAAGAAAGCTAAGTCTATAGAGCAGATGAATTAGTAGGCAGACATCTGCCCCCACATTATTTAACAATTAATTCCAAAAGTAATGAATTCTATAAAATGGAAGTTTATGTTTTATTTCAAACTTCAAACCACTGGTATAATAGTGGCCTTCCTGAACATCCCAGTTTTTCCATAGAGACACATATCAGTTGCTTTGCAGAAAAGGGACTTTCTATGACATGCGCAGGAGCAAACTTCCCTATTGTTGACATTTGCAAGATCTATTATTGGTGGCACTTTATCGGCTTTGTGAAGCTCCCCTAGGCTTCTGCAGCTGTTTCCCAGGATTGCACATGCAACCAAGCCACAATTTCTCACCCCACAGTAATTTCCAACTCGACGTGCATTATGTAATTAAGTAAATAGCAGAAGATTATTGGTGTAACTAGTACTACTTCAGTACTTGTATTACAAAGCTCTACCTCGGTAGTTGGAAAAATGATTCCTCTGATCAGAAAGATTTGTAGAAAAATGGATCCTTAGGAAATGAAACCAAGAAAGGACTCTAGAATTCCTGGGTACACTCTTATAAGTACTATCTCCTGTGGCCAGATATCTCCTAGGCACCTGTTACAGCGTCCCCTTTCTGAATTGATCTGGTCATTCTGTCTTACTCCTCTTTGTCATTACTCAGATCTAAATATATGCCACTCCCTGAATCACACACACACACACACACACACACACACACATATATATATATATATATATATATATATAAATTATGGTATTTGATTTATTGATGTGGAGAAAAAAAAAAAAAGAGGCTAAGGGGAATGAAAAGCTCTTGTTAAACACCTCAGTCATCCTAGCTCTCAGCTGGGTGATGAGAACAAAATCAGATTAGCCTGGCTGTAGAGGATTTCGATCTTACAAACGAATATATGTATGTGTGTGTATATGTGTGTGTGTGTATTTCCTTTTTTGGGGGGAGAGTTTTTTGCTATAGGGCACATGCGCTTGTCAGAAAGACAGGGACAGAGAGACAGAAAGTGAGAAATGACCTCCCAGAGGGATGGCCATGCCGCAGTCCTTTCTCCTCCATTCTCCTCTCAGGATCTTGGGCACGGATGCACACCTGCCTGGCGTAAGATTAAGCCCATGGGTCTGGGACTCAAACTGTGGTCGACTACATGGGAGTCCAGTGACATAGCCATTACACCAACCGCTGGTCCCCAAATACATATTTATAGCATGGTTATATCGACATATGTCTTCTCTCCTCTGATATACTACAGACTTTTAAGGAAAAGATTTCTGTCTAATAAAGCTTTGCATTATCTCCACAGTGACAGGGCAGGAGCCCAGTTAATATTTGTTAAATGGATCAAAAACAATAATCATCGTTTAGCTTATAGTATTGACCAATTAAAACAAATTATGCATTTTTGAGGTTATACTCCAGAAGAGATTTGATTTCCTTTAAAATGCCTAACACTTTAAAAGAGGAATAAGCAGGGGCCAGTGTAATGGTTTAGATGCTGCACTTGCACGTGGCTTGAGTCCTGGACCTGGCGGCTTGAAACTCATGCCAGGCACATGTATATGTGTGCCCAAAATCCCAGGAGGAGAATGGAGAAGAAGAGATTGTGGGGTGGCCATCTCATTTGGGAGGTGATTTCTTGCTTTCTGTCTGTCTCTCCGGTGAGCATATGTACCCTATAGCTAAATCTCTCTCTCTCTCAAAAAAAAAAAAAAAAAAAAAAGAAGACGAATTGTAAATAAAGCCTTAATATGTTAATACCTGGGATGCTACACTTCAACACTTCAATCAGGTTATTTCATCCTGAGAAAGAGAAGATCAATAGACATAGACGTGATCAAGAGTTCTGAATGGTTTCCTCTTACAGGAAAAGACTAAGGAGACCTTGAAAGAACTCTGACAAAGATGTGAGGAAAATCTATAAAATTCTTAATCCTGTTTCTTCCTCAGTTAACAACCTTTATAGTAAAACTCTTAGAAAAGCTTTTTCATTCTACTTGAATCTAATTTATCTTCCCTAGGCCCCCGCCAAACCTCTACAATCTACCTTTTATTTGCATCACATCTATTCTGTATCAAATCTGATCTACCCAAACCGACTGCCAGGGTCACACAGCTCGGCCCTCATCTGACTTGACTTAATCTGAATTTGACAAAATCAATCTCTCTGTATTTTTTCAAATTCTTGACTTAGCTTTTAGAACCTCTCACCAGCGGTCCCCTGTCTGGGGTTTTGGTTGATTCTTCCTCACCATCGTTCCTCAGGACTACCCTCTGTCTTTGCTTCTTCTCATTTCTGTCTACATTCCTTCATTTCTTTTTCTTTCTTTCTTTCTTTCTTTCTTTCTTTCTTTCTTTCTTTCTTTCTTTCTTTCTTTCTTTCTTTCTTTCTTTCTTTCTTTCTTTTTCTTTCTTTCTTTTTTTTTGCTGTAGGGCACTCACCAGAGAGACAGAGAGAGACAGAGAAACAGAAAGAGAGAAATCAGCCCCCAGGGCAGATGGCCATGCTGCAGTCCCTTCTTCTCCATTATCCTCTTGGGATTTTGGGCACGCACACACATGTGCCTAGCATGAGTTTTAAGCTGCCAGGTCTGAGACTCAAACCACAGTCAACCATGTGGGAGTCTAGCAATGTAACCATTAGCCATCTGCTGGTCCCTACATTCATTTCTTGAATATCTTCCCTGTCTCATGATCTTAGTTATGCTGATGACTTTCAAATTTATAATCCTAGACTTAGCTCTCTCCAGAGTCCTAATTTCAGTTCTCTCTTTGACAAGTCTAAATGGATATCTAATAGGCATATCAAAAAAAGGTCTGGACTGACCTGTCTTCCCCTAAACTTCCCTGATCTCTTATTCCAACTCGTTTCTCCCTCCTTGTCTCAAACTTATCTCTCACTCCTTTCATACCCTACATCCAATCTATCTGCAAAACCTAGTAGCGCTATCTTAAAAATATTTCCAGAACTTAGACCAACAGGTGGCATAATAGTTAAAGTGCTGGATACTCACATAGCCAAGTGCAGTTCGAGTCCTGGATCTGGAAACTTGAAAATGCACAAAACCCTAGGAGAAGAATGGAGAAGGGATTGCAGTGTGGCTATCCCCTCTGGGGGCTGATTTCTCACTTTGGCTCTTTCTGTCTATCTCTGTTGAGCACATGTGCCCTATGGCAAAAACCTAAAAAAAAAAAATTAAAATTTAAAAAATTTCTAGAACTTAATTATCTGTGAGTTTTACTGTTACTCTGATTCTTTAACTCAGATTATTGCAACTGTCTCCTAAAAATAGTGTCCCTGTGTCACTCTTGTCTTCCTATAGTTTCTCCCCAAAGCAGCAGCAAGATTGATCTTAGTAAAATGGAAGGCAGACAGTGATATTGCTCTGCTGAAAACTCTCCATTGGCTTCCAGAATTCTTATTTTGGCCAACAAGAGCCAACACGATCTGATAACTTCACTCTTTGCTATCTTCATCCTCCCTCCAGTCATAATAGTCTGCCCGCTCTATGGGTAGGTTTCTGCACTTGCTATACCCTCTGCCTGGAACACCTGCCTTTTATATTCTCTCCGTTCCATCAAATGAGCTTCTCAGACTTTATGTATCTCTCATGTTTGGCAGCACAACCACCTCCACATTCTAACCTCAATTTCCTGCTTAATTTTCTCTAAAACACTTGTTAACATCTGATGTACTATATATTTTGCTTATTTAAAACAAAGCATTGGGACCAGCAGTGAGCGTAATGGCTATGTCACTGGACTCCCATGTAGACGACTGCGGTTTGAGTTCCAGACCCAGTGACTTAAACTCACACTGGGCGCATGTGCATGCGAGCCCAAGATCCCGAGAGGAGAATGGAGGAGAAGGGATTGCGGCGTGGCCATCCCCCCTGCGGGGGAGATTTCTTGCTTTCTATCTCTCTGTCTCTCTCTGTCTTTCTGGTGAGCACATGTGCCCTATAGCAAAAACCTCTCCAAAAAAAGAAAAAAACAAAAAACAAAACAAAACAAAAAAAAACAAAGCATGAAAGTTCCAAGAAGGCAGAGATTCTTTTTGTTCACTGAAAACTTCCCTACTTCCCAGCATCTAGAAATTTAAGTATTCAAATAATTTTTTTAATGTTTCTCTCCCTCATTTTCTTTTCTCCCCTCTTCTCTTTTATTTATTTATTTATTTATTTATTTATTTATTTTTTGGAGAGGTTTTTGCTATAGGGCGTGTGCTCTTGCCAGAAAGAGACAAGAAATCACCCCCCATGAGGGATGGCCATGCCGCAATCCCTTCTCCTCCATTCTCCTCTCGGGATCTTGGGCACGCACGCACACGTGCCCGGCGTGAATTTTAAGGCACCAGGTCCAGGACGCGAACCGCGGTCGACTACGTGGGAGTCCAGCGACATAGCTCTTATGCTTAATGGTGGTCCCCATCCACTCTTCTCTTTTATTCCTTTCCCTTCTCCTGTCTTCACATGCTCTATCTAGATTTACTCTTTTGATGACCTACCCCAATTATGTGACTTTAGTTACCACAAGAAGTATATTCCCAAACGTGTTTAATTCTTGAAATGTAAAATATATTTAAAGCCATCTGTTCCTATTGAGGAAAGCAGCTAGGCAACTTTGAAATAAAATGTTGTTTTAAATTATTGGTAATTACCATATGGGACGTATTCCTACTACCAAAACTTCACTCAGTCTCTCGTCATTTCTTGCTTGAATTATTACAATGGCCTCTTAGGTATCATTTATAATTTATGAGTAAATATCCCCCAAACTGTTTTTCATATAGCTGTCAATTTACATTTAAGTGTATTTCATTGGTTTCTCATATAGGAGAGTGATAAAATAATGATGATGATAAAGGTGTAGAATTAAGTATTTTGAAATTAGAATGAGCCTTGCTTTTTCCCTCAAAGACAAACATGTGTACTGTATGCATTGATATCAAGGAGATATTCTGAAGTGTGCCTCTTTTATCCAAGAGATCTTGAAAAAATTTTTGGAAAACATGTATTATGGGAGAATTGTGCATGGATTTTGATATCTTTTTGGACTCAAAATTAACTCATAATTTAGTTAAATTGTTTTCATGAACCTTTAAGTCCCCTCATATGTATAGGTAATATCTTGATGCTTAAAACATACTTCTTAATAGGTGAATTAAAAGGCTTAGCTGCCATAGATCTTTTTAACATTTCACTCTTTTAAAGAAAGTGGTAATAAAGCAAAGCAATCCTGAAAACCATGATCTATTCCTATAACTCTTTGGAGTACAGACCCCAGTTTTGGTTTGGTCAGCATCTTCTTTGATAATAAAGTCATCCATAAAGCCATTTCAGACTGATTCATTTCTTTGTGAAGTTACATGGTGTATTAGTTGTGCAGAACAGGGGTACGTTTTCTCTCGGGAAACACAAAAGGAGAAGTGTTTTCCAAATCTTTCCATACTTGAGTGACATTCTTCACTGGCCCAAACTTTTTTGGCTAATTGATTCTCTAAACAAGACCTCAGCCAACCTTCAGAGCAGCTGTTTCTGGAATAACAGAGACTGGCAAGTGAGGGAATAACTGTGGCTTTAACAGGCATGCATTTGCTTTCCACCACACTCTGAATTCCCTCTCTGAAAGGATTGCTTTTGATGACCAAATGCATCATGTTTTCCCTTGGTTAAAAAATACGGAGAGAGAGAAGAAAACACACCCCTAATTTTTGAGACCATGATAACACAAAGCAGTCACTAGAAAAACTGGCAAGAGTGAGTAGAGCTTCTAATAGGCTGGCCACTGTGACTTGGGATATTTTTCTGAGAAACCCAGTAATGCCTGTTTCATTTTGGAATCGTTTCCTTTCCCCCAGTGGCACTCCAGAAGCCATGCTGTCTGTTTCAATTATAAATCCCCAGTCTTCTCATCACAGACTCAGGGCTATAACTGACTTCTGGCAATTTATGATCAAACCCGAAGCATTTAGCTAGTGAATTGTACCATTTGTTGAACATGTAAAAATCTCTAACACTTGAGGCCAAAATTAAAATGTCATTTAGTAAATGAGTGTGTTAATAGGGAATCTCATAAGAGAGATAACTAGTATTTTAAAATCTTAGAATTTTAAAGCTGGAGGGGAACTCAGTGATCATTTACACTAACTCTTATCTTTATGTATGAGGAAACTGAGTCTAAGGGATTTATGGAGCTGGCTCAAGGCCACACCAGGCTTACACAGAACTTCAGTCACTAATTCCTGTCAGTCATGGCCCATGATTCTCTTCTCATTCATACTGGCTTTTGTAAAATGGCAAAAATAACAAGCAGATCAAAGATCTTAAATGTATATTTTCCTTTATTGATCAAAGTTCTCTTCTCATTTGGGATGTAGGGCCGGGTGGACAAGAGGCAGGTGATGACTGTGGAAGTCAAGAGTTACCCAAGCCAAATGACCTACTTCAGTGTAGTTAGAGGTGTTGCTATTGGAGTCTGTGTGAAACAGAGTGTGATGAAATCAGTTTTCTGGAAATTCAGTCAACCCACTATATCCACAGGTCCTGTAACAATGGATTTTGTATCAACGGATACAGAAGGCCTATTATACTACCATTTTATATAAGGGACATGAGTATCTGCGGATTTTGGTATTAATGGGGGTCTTAGAATTTTGGGGGTCTGTAATAGCTGAAGGCATGAGGACATTTTGCATCACTATTTTTGCTCAATCCATTGGATGTTTGAACACATTGGGTCACTGTTAAGGGGTCTTGGGTAAATCATGGTAGTTGGGATTTTCAGTTATTTTTGGTTAATGGAAAACTATCAGATAAAGCAAGGAGTCTGAAAAACAAACCTAGAAGACCCCTTAGCAAGATAAGATAGGTTAAATTTTCAGGATTATGCAATTATCATTTATGACTAAGTCACTGGTGTTTTGTGGACAAACTTGATAGGAAATGGAGACAAAAATAATTTATATTATTATTTGTTTAGGGTTGATGGATGCAGAGTCAGTCTGTCCAGCTGAACCCTGTGTAGTATGGATGATTCCAGAACTGCTGCTAAATGGTATTGTATCTCTTGGAGATATAAGAATGTTATTAGAATTTGATTTTCCCTATAGTCGGCAGTGAGGCTGGCTCTATTCTAGTACTGTAGGTTGCTTTCCTGATAAACATTTTTCAAAAATTATTTATTTATTTTTTTCCCAACAGAGAGAGCAATAGCAAGAGACATAGAGTCTGCATGTCACAATCCATCCCTAGCCTCAGCCAGCCAGAATCACGAGCATGGACATGTGTATCCAATGAGTAGAGGAAGACCTCAGATATGAATCTGGATCTTTCCCAAGTGGGTTCAGGATGATAGAGTGTGGCATTGCCACTTCACCACCATGACTGCTCCTGACAATTTTTTCCCCCTGACTAATCTTAAACATTTATATTGGATTGTGTTATTACCATGCCCTAACTATTAGGAAATCAGAGAGAGAGCATGCCAAATGGTAGATCCTCAAATTTTAAATGAATGAAAAAGAATCATGAATTTAGATTTAATTCTCAGTGGGACAGGGAACCAATGTAAGTTCTGAGTATTGCATGTGAGCATGCTGAGTTGAAACTTCTCCATAGCATTCCAATTCATACCACCCAGAGTTCCTGGTGGCACTTGTTCCTACATTTATTTTCATTCAGTTTGGGTAGTTGGAGTACTATCAAATTCCCAAGTTATGAACAATCTACAGTGGTCCGAGACTGTTTTGATATATGTAGGGAATATAAAAAATTATGAAATTGTTAAGGGTTTTAAAACCTCTAAATCTCCAGTGTTGAATGAATTTTTCCACAAGATTAATAAATTCTGTTTTTCTCAGCAAACATTTATCAGTATCCTGCTCTTTGTAAAATATTTGGCTAAACTCTATGGAGGGTCCTAGAAGTTCTATATGAAAAAGTCCACTTAAAATATCTACCAAGTTATTTTTTGCCATAGGGTGGGTGCCACCATGCCCTCTCTACCAAGTTATTTTAACCTGAAAATATATTTGAATAGGGAAGACAATCTGACTTCCCAAACTGTATGTAAAATAATAAAGTGATTACTATTTTACTACTTTAAGCAATTATTCCCAATTGACTTGTTAATATTCTGCATCTGTATTAGTTTCTATAAAGGATTTCCTATTCATATACATGTAGGAATCTATGTTCACCATTTGTATCATATAATATAAGTGAGTTCAGCATTTAAAAATTGATTTGTTGGAATGTCTCATCTCACTTGAAAGAAGTTCTGATAAAGGTAGAAGGTTTTCAAAGCAGAATGGTATCAAGTTCAGTAACACCTCATTAAGAGCAAGGGCTTTGTGTGT